AAAAAAAGGCATGTGCTTAGTAATGTATAGTGTTGAATATTTTTATTAAAATATTATCAGTAAGAAATTTCTTCCAATAATTTATTTTAGAGGACAATGTATATCTAAATTAATGATGAAATAGATTGAAAGTCACAAAAGCTTGTGAGAATAGATTTTTAAGGCACTGACTTACAAGGATATCACTATTTCAGAATAGTGGATCCATGCAAATTTATCTAATTATCATTTATCTGTCTGTCTGTCTGTCTGTTCATCCGTCCGTCCATCCATCCATATAATTTTTTTTTTGATCCACTGCAGTTTATTTGAAATTGAAGCTGTTGATGTTTTCTTGTAATACTGCCCTCTTTCAAAATTTGTGGAATTATGTTTACCCACTTGCTTCATCCCATTTTTCTCCTCCTGGGTTTTGACCACTAAAGCAGGTCATTTTAATAGAAATGTAGCTTGACTGAAAATGAAATGAAAATATGGATGAACAATGTTCATGCATGCAAGCAGTTTATTTTAATTTTGCTTTGAGTGAATGGGGGGGGGGGTGTTTATTGCTCCAGAATTTGTAGCAACTTGGGGCAAGGCAATGATTTTTGTGCCTTTTTCTCAGCTTTGCTACATTGATGTAGTCTCAGATCTTCTTTTGAGTAGTTTAAAGTACTTTAAAAGCTGAAAGCAGAAACAGTAACAGTATGAAAGTCCCCTTAATCTTTATTAAGGCTTTAAGATACAAAACCTTTTTCCCCTGAGTAAGAATCTATTAATGTCAAATTTAATATTTTCAACTAAATTTTAAGCTGGTCAATTAAAAGCATGCATTTGTTTCCTATTTTACTCCCTCCCTACCAAATCAGGAATTGATGGGTAATCTCTGCCCTAACTGCAATGTGATGCTGCTGTTCCTACAAATTATGTAAATAAATGACAAGCTTTAGTTCTCACTCCTTCCAATCATTTTCCTTTCATCTCTCACACATCCACGCTCACAGAACACTTCTGATCTACTAAATCACCTTTGTCTCTGAACTTACTTATCTGACTTGGTAGTCAGAATCAAAGTTATGATCTGCAATTATGGTTCACAACTAGTGTCATAACTAGTTAAGATCTTCAGTAAACTGTGCAGGAGAATTAGTGACAGGTAGAGGTGCATGCCTGCATGTGTCTATATTTCAATAAGGCAAGTCCATTGATATTATCCACTGTTTCTCTTTCTCATTTTGGTCCATCTGTTTCTCTGTCTATCCCTGCCAATTTTCTTCAATCTGCTTCTATTTGCAACCTTTTCTTTCACTATTTTTTGGCCCTATCTCTATTATACACAGGCTTATTTGCGGCAAGATTACATTATTATAGGCATTCAGTGGATTTAAAAAGTCTACGTACATCTGTTAAAATGCCACAGTTTGGAAATGTGAAAAAAAATTACTTCAGAATATTTTCCATCTTTAATACAGGTAGTCCTCAACTTATGATCATAATTAAGCCCAAAATTTCTGTTCTAAAATGAGACATTTATTGAGGTTTGCCCCACTTTATGACATTTCTTGTTACAGTTGGTAAGTTATTGCCTGGTTGTTATGTGAATCTGGCTTCCCCATTAAATTTGCGTGTCAGAAAGTTGCAAAGAAAGTTGCATGACCTTGGGACACAGCAACAGTCATAAATATGAACCAGTTGCCAAGCACCTGAATTTTAATCAGATGATCACGGGGACGCTGCAAAGGTCGTAACTGTGAAAAATGGTCGTGTTACATTTTTCAGGGCATTTGTAACTTTGAATAGTCACTAAACGAACTGCTGTAGGCCGAGGACTACCTGTATAACATATAAGCTGTATAATTCAGTTGAAAAACAAGCTGAAATATTTTAATATAAAAATAATAAAAAACTTACAATACAAAATCTATTCATTCTTTCTGCAATTTTGTAGTCTGAAGAAAAGTCATTTTACTTTGCTATTCATTCAAGTAATAATAAAAGGTTTTACATGAATCATTCAAATGGCTTATTCTTTAGTGGTATCAACAGGTTAAATCTGCTTCAAGGGTGCTTTTTTCTTTGATGCATGGCTGTGTGAATTCATTGCTGGAAATTGTCAATGTCAGAATGTTTGTTTTCTTTTGGCAAATCAAATGCAGCAATTTGAACAATCAAGGAGGAAAAAACAAAATATGTAAGATCGGGCAGGAGAAAGGAATGTCAGCTTCCATGCCTCTCAGTATCAAGTACTATAAAGAACTATTTTATGGTGATACTCACAGGGAACGGAGGGCAACCAGCTGCTGAAATGCATTTGCGTGGATTTCATATATTTCATTGTGATGTAAAGCACTGAAATGGCAAAAAAAAAAAGAGAATGTATAGACAAAAACTTTAGGAAAGTTGCTATTGATGCTGAAATTCCAAGGGTAACTTTCACAACTACTAAACATGCTAGCATATTCCAATCTTGTTTTAGAAAATTCACTTCAGGTAAGGTAAAAAGAATGACTCCAATATTAAACTGTGGCACTTTCTCAAACATTTTTCTGACATAAACAACTCAAACCCTTGTTTTTTTCTCCTCCAGAGAGCTTATATTCAACTATACATGCCCAAGCAGCGACAGTTTGATAGACTATTTTATTTTTAAAATATCAAAATCTGAATATAAACAAACAAAGATTCAGATTACTACATCCATACATTCTTTGTACTGGAAAAGATAGGGAATCCTGCTCTTTCTGGGCATGAATTCAAAGCATTTTAGAAACCTTACATTTTCTGAAGTTTTTCACAAGCTGTAAAACAGGGCAATTCTTCCAGATGATTATATGAAAGGTCTCTGAAAAACAAAGTAGAAATCCAAAATGGCATATGGTTCTGCTATAAATTAAAAATGTATTTTACAACTTTTTTTTTGCAGAGAGACTGCTATTAGAAGAACACTAGATCCAGTTTTCTTATAAAACATACTTCTTTTAATTGTTTTACATAATCTACTTCTTTTGTTTTAGGACTATCCCACATTTTTATCAGCAACCATAGCAAAATTTAATAAGCTTCCCAGACTATACTTTAAATTAAGCAATCTTGCATCTGACCTTTAGAACTGCTATATCTTGAGTTGAGAAAAGTGGTTTGGGAACTAGAAGTCACTTTGAAAATCAATCATTACAAGGAGAAAAAAATCTCTTCAAATATTTTCAGCCAAAACCTAACAGATTACAGAACAACTGAAACATCTGGACTCATTTATAGTATAATATAACTAATCAAAAACAAGCCATTGTAATTTTCAGAAATTGTAAAAAGAAGAAAGAAAAAAGGGGAAATAGATTTGTATCCTGTACTCCTTTATGCAGGGTAACCTCCTATGGTCTTTATTAAGACTTTTGTCTCTGTAAATTAAAAAATGAGAATGGACATAGGAATATGCCTATTGTTTCCTTTTAAAGCCATAAATGGTAAGATTTTATTCCTATACTAATTTTTAAAAGATAAATATAGTTGTCCAGGCTTCAAATTCCTTAGATAAATGTTGTTAAACAGCAGTTATTTTTATACAAATGAAAACATTTTACATTTCCCTTCCCTTCCAGCAAGATCCAGGAAAAGACTATTGAAAGAGACTTATTTAGTGAGTTGAAAGTGAGGATAAAAAACCAAACCAAAACCAAACCAAAAATCCATGCATATAGAACACTACAAACTTTCACACAGCTAAATATTTCACAAACATGAATCCATAAAGAAACACTTGGATAGAGTAGGGAAAACAGTTAAAATAAAACCATATTTTGTGACTGTCTATAAGATCCCTACTCTACCCTTCCCCTCCCTTACTCTTCCCTTTCCCCTCTCTTAGGCTTTCCTCTCTCTCCCTCTTGGCCTATGCTAAGGCCTGTTTGTCTTTTTGTTGTACATAACTTGTAGTTGTGTTGTTCTTTTAAAGGTAAAACTAATAAAGTATTTTTCCAAAAAAAAAAAAGAAACACTTGGAGAATGCAGTCCAAGGTCAGATACAAAAATGGTCAATGCAATAAAATTGAAAAGAGCATTAAAGAAAGGAACTCCTATTACTGATTTCAATACCTTGGCAGGAAAGACTTGAGGAAAGTTGTGGTTCAGAGCCTCAACCAATCTGAGATGATGCATCTTAGTTCACAGAGAAAGCCAATCCACATCTATTAACTGAGACTTGGATAACTTGTTGACTAAGGCAGGGGTCCCCAACCACCGGGCCGCGGACCGGTACCGGTCTGTGGAACATTTCCTACCGGGCCGCCGGTTTGCTGGGCGCCGCCATCTTGTTTGACGAGAAAGTGCTTCCGGGTGAGCTTTTCCGGTTGGAAAGTGGCGTTTGGGTCCTGAAGGAATCCTCGCGCCTTAGTTTCATCGAAGGGGGGGGCTTCGAACGAAACTAAGGCGCGAGGATTCTTTCAGCACCCAAGGCAAGGCGAGCCGAGCGACCATCCTGAAGCCGTCCCGAAGCGAAGCCCATCGACAAAGGTACAAAGGAGGAGTTGAAGGTGGCGGGGAGAAGGCTGGCTGGACGGTCGCTCAGCTCGCCTTGCCTTGTCATGCGTGCTGATGCCGGTACCGGGCCATGGATCATTTTGTGATGCCGGTACCGGGCCGTGGCACAAAAAAGGTTGGGGGCCACTGGACTAAGGGACAGGTAAGTAGGAAGGACTAACTCCAAACAATACACTAGACAGACAAATGTGTAACATGTACAAATGGCTGATATCTATCTATCTATCTATCTATCTATCTATCTTCTATCATCTATCAAATCAATTTAGATTAATGGTATTAGATATTCATAAAGAGGCATTTCAATAATACAGAGACATCTAGCTAACAATAAGTAATATAGTTCCAGTAAATGAAGTATTTTCTTTTCTCAGAATTGTGGCTTTGTAACATATTTTGGGTATATATTATAATTAATGTAGCTAGCATGTTGGCTGGGCAGACTAGTACCAGATACATTCATCATGCTGTAATGGTAAATGGAAAATATACTTGGCTGATTCACAAAGAATCAGACAGAATAATTATTTTTGATAGTGATTAAACTACCTCCATAGAATTCTTGAAAGTTACAACAATATACTGGTTAATCATTATATGAAAAAGAGCTCAGAGCTACTATTTGATGTTCAAACTGAATAAATATAAGAGAGAAAGAAAAAAGTTAAGAACATGATGTTGCAAATGTGGATTGCTTAATAGCATATCTAAACAAGAACAGAGTGTGTACTTTATTTCAATGTAAACATATATTGACATGTTAAAAAACATATTTCAGTAAAGCATCCTGTCCTGTCAAAAAAGTTTTGGAGTTTGGATTTGATATAAGGTGAAGAAAACAGGATATTCCTGTCATCCAGGGTGCTTTCCAAAAATTGATGACTTAAAAATAATTTGAAAAATAGGAAGATATGTAAATAATGTCATCATTGTGTACATTCTTAAAATTTCCCCCTTAAAAATAATTATAAAGTAAATCAGGTTGTTAGTTCTGATCTGAAATTTTTACAGTATTGCTTGTTTATCTTGATCTACTAGAATTATCCAATTGTAGTATTTTCTTCTACCCTATATTAACTTGATTTTCAAAAGTATCTTTTTAAAAGCATCCTAAAATAACACCCTCCAAATGGGTAATGTTCCCTGGGAATTTCTAAGAGTTATGGTGTGTCACATTTTGTCAGACGTATCAGATAGTTCAGACAGACAAGCTAAGCTAATTCTACTTCATTGTAAAGATACATTAACAGAATCTTGCAAGCTGGAAAGTACAATTTTCTTACTGTCTCCTTTATAGACTGAGAAACTAGAGAGAGTGTCCCTTCTGAGCCTCCCACCCTCCTGCCCCTCCAAGTGTAGACTATGCTATCTCTTATCTGACTATTCCCTAGGCTGCACCTCTTCACCCCATTTTACAAGATCTTTCCCAATACCAATACACATCTGGACAGGACAAAGTTAGGGAGGATTGTTTCTTTATCCAAATTACTATAGTAAATGTATGGCTAATTTCAGTCCAGATTTCCCTTTTTAAAAAGTCATTATACAATTGATGATTTATCATTTAGATAGTTGTTAACCCCCATAACAAATACTGTATGTATTCTCTGAATCAATGGTATGATTTAACATCCTCTCTCCACTATACTTACAGTATTTGGAGATTAGGGAGGTGCTCACAAATTGATTCTGGAAGAGTTGTGATCCTAGATCCTGTAAGGATCCTATTAAGATAAGAAATTTCAAATAGTTAATAATTACAATAGGAATTAACTTAGTCCATAGCAAATTAATTTGAAGTCCTGAATAATATAACTCAGTGCTATTGGTTTAATTCATAAGAATTAAAAAGTGTTAATTCTCTCTCTGTTGAAGAACAGCATATCGGAACCTATCTATAATCAATATTATGTACAGTACATACATTTAAGAGGATAAGTACAGGGATAAGGCTGAAACATAAAAGAAAATCATATCAGGAACCTATCTCATGGATTTTCACCTGGTTCTCCACTATGCAACCAGGGAGTCAATCAACCAACCAAAAAGCCTAATGGCTCAGTAAGCATATATAAATTAGAGCATAAGCTAATTCAAATCTATCACAAATTTAGGATGAATGATTTTGTACATTGGGTTACAGATATATTACAGATTTAAGAACAAGTCTTAATAGAATAGAATAGAATAGAATAGAATAGAATAGAATAGAATAGAATAGAATAGAATAGAATAGAATAGAATAGAATTCTTTATTAGCCAAGTGTGATTTGGTGCATATGCTCTTAGTGTACATGAAAAGAAAAAAAAACATTCACCAAGAGTCATTAATTATTAATAAGCAATCAAATCATGCTGGGAACCAAAACAATGTAAATTGTAAAGATACAAGCAACATAGTTATAGTCATAAGTGGGAGGAGATAGGTACTAGGAAGGATGAGAAGAATAATAGTAATACAGTCTTAGTAAATAGTTTGACAGTGTTGTGGGAATTAGCTGTTTAGCAGAGTGATGGCATTTGGAAAAAACTTGTGTCCTTGTGGTATGCAGTGCCCTATAGCGTCCTTTTGAGGGTAGAAGTTGAAATAATTTGTGTCCAGGATGTGAGGGGTCTGTAGATATTTTCACAGCGCTCTTTTTGACTTGTGCAGTATATAGATCCTCAATGGAAGGCAGGTTGGTAGCAATTGTTTTTTCTGAAGTTCTAATTATCCATTGAAGTTTGTGTCTGTCTTGCTCCTTGGGCAATTTGAGCTTTCTGAGTTGGCACAGAAAGAACATTCTTTGTTGTGCTATAATGTTTTTGATGTTAGGTGTCAGTTTTAAGTCTTGAGATATGATAAAACCTAGAAACTTGAAGGTCTCTCCTATTGATATTGTGTTGTCTAGTACTGTAAAAGGCGGTGTTTGGGAGGGTTTCTCCTAAAATCTACCACCATTTCTACGGTTTTGAGTGTGTTTAGTTCAAGATTGTTCTGGTTGCACCACAAGGCTAGTTATTCAACTTCCTGTCTGTATACCGATTCGTCATCTCAAATGAGACCAATCACTGTTGTATCATCTGCAAATTTCAGTACTTTAACAGAAAGGTCTTTTGAGATGCAGTCATTAGTGTATAGAGAGGAGCCCTGAGGGACTCCTGTGCTAATTGTACAGGTATCTGATGTGATTTTGCCTAGCTTCACCTGCTGCTTTCTGTCTGTTAGGAAGCTTATGATCCATTTACAAGTGTGGTCAGGTACAGCTAGCTGATTTAGTTTAGTTAGAAGAATATCTAGAATGATGGTATTGAATACTGAGCTGAAGTCTACAAAGAGGATCCTTGCATAGATCTTTGGAGAATCAAGATGTTGTAGGATGTATTGCAGAATCATATTAACAACATCATCTGTCGATCTATTTGCTCAGTAGGCAAATTACAAAGGGTCTAACAGCAGATCCGCGAGCCAGCACTAGCCTTTCAAATGTTTTCATAACTTACAGATGTTAGAGCAACCGGTTTGAAGTCATTCCATTCCTTGATGGAAGATTTATTTGGCACTGGGATGAGAGTAGAGTGTTTGAAGCAAGAAGGAACATAGCACATATCTAGTGATTTATTAAAGATGAGGGTGAAGATGGTGGCACAAGCTTTTAAGCAAGAAGGAGTTATCTTGTCTGGTCCTGGTGCTTTTCCTGGCTTTTGTCTGTGAAATAGACCTGGCACCTCATTTTCTGTAATCACCAGAGGTGATGGGCTCAATGGGTTGGGGTCAGTTGTAGGAGGCTTGGCTTTTGTTGGTGTGTCTGGGGTGGGGATTGTGGAGATAGGTGGCAGTAGTTTTCTCTCAAACCTACAGTAAAACACATTCAGGTCATCTGCCAGTTGTTGATTTCCTTCAGCATGGGAAGGAGGTTTGCTGTAACCAGTGATATTTTAAAGAGTCTTCCATATGTTTGCTGGTTCATTCGTTGAGAACTGATTCTTTAGCTTTTTAGAGTAGCTTCTTTTTGTTGCTCTGATCTCCCTTGTTAATACATTTCTGGCCTGATTGTACAGCATTCTATCACCTTTTCTGTAGGATTCCTCTTTGGTACGACATAGCTGCTTAAGATTAGCTGTAAACCATGGTTTAGTGTTACTGTATATTCACAGGTTTCTGGTCGACACACATACGTCTTCACAAAAACTGACATATGATGTTATAGTATCGTAACAAAAACTGGACATCTAAAATAATTGCTACCATCTATTTTAAAAAAAACCAAACCATAGATCTAATACTTACAAGCTTTCCAGGTTTGTTGTCCCAGTCAAATCAGGAAAGTCTGTCATCTCTGAAACACCATTTAATGTTCTATAATTATGAACACAATGTATTAATGTTGTGGTTTAAGAAGTGAAAGAATTTTTGTTTGGAGCTAAAGTGCTTTTAAAGGTGCAAATACATACAGGGTTCTGAGTTCAGGTAAATGGTGAAAAGCAGACTTTCCCACAGTTTGGATAGGATTATCATAAAAATGGCTGCGAAGAAAATGAATTAATCACTGTAAGATTTAAATCTTCAAAGTCTGATGCAATTTACTGGATATTCTCATAAAAGGATTTATGCAATCTTTTTGCCTGCAATCTTTTTATTGAATGCTTATCTCCAGAACTATTTGCTCCCCAAATTATACATGCTAAATCATTTTTAAATAAAACTGAGCAAACATCTCTCCTTATCTTTAAGTCCAAAATCTTAATCTAGGTTAAGTCCCCCCCCCTAAACTATTGCTAGGCATCTTTTAAAGATTTCTCTTGCCTCCACAGGAATAGAAAATAGAGGCAAGAAATATAACTGTCTATGAAACAGATAACATTTTTTGCCCAGAATTCAAATGACTTTATATAGTAGTTTCACATAAAAATTAAAAGCATAAGTGGTTTCTACAGTATTAATTATCCACAAAGGTGACTGTGTTGAACACCAGTTTGAATGAATCCAAATAATCAATTCTTTCTGTTAATATACTGATATGAGAAAACAGCCAATAAGAAAATGCAATCTGGGGATCAAAAAGTTTATGCACATTCTAGCTTAGTAAAATAAAATATGTTACAGTTATGTAAGAAATTTTGCTCTCAAAATTAAGTTCAGTGTAAAAGGGTATTATATAGATACATGCCAACAGAAAGCTTATGCTCATTAGGCCTCTCTGGAACTTCAGGAATTAACAAATGTAATTGTTATCTCAGCTGAGCAATGTGTAAGACTAATATAGAATGGCTTATCAAATTAAGGAATATGGAAACTACAAAATGGCAGATGGCGCCAATGAGTAGATTCAGATTAAAGATACAATACCGTGTTTCCAAAAATAAGACCCAGTCTTATTTTATTTTGGGTTTGAAAATAAGCACTAGGGTTTATTTTGGGGGGTGTCTTATTTTTTCCACCTACAGGAGGTGGTGAGCACGGGGACCAATGGGAGTGGGAGCGCTGCTACCACCAGCCTGAACTTTCATCCCACCACTACTTGCCTGCAGCCACAATGCATCAAGCACTCAGAATGCCCTGGCCTCTGACTGCCCTGCCTCCTGGCCCTGCTGTTCCTGGACTCTAGAGCTTGGGTCTTGTTCAGGCTGCTGCTATGACAAGGTAGAAGGCCATGTGGCACATTGGGATCAGCTCCCCCACCATGCCTCTGCCCAGCTGCTAGGCCTGCTATACCTGCTGCTGCTGGTCTCATGGGGGCTCTTCGCCCTCCTGGCTACAGTGCTCTCGGCCACCCTGCTGGGCTGCTCCTGCCTGGTGAGGGGCAACTTGGCCCAGATCTATGTTCTCCTGAGCACCTGACCTGCCATTGCCTTTGGACAATGCCCCTCCCCAGCCCTGTGCCGCTGCCCTGGCTGCCAAGTCCCCAGCCTGCACACCTCTCACTGGAGCAAGACACACAACTCAATGTTATTGATACTTGAGGAGTCCTCCCAGTGCAACACTCTGCCGCAGCTTCAGAGCAAACTTCTGCCTTTGTTGTGGTTAGCTGGCAGCAAGTGCGGATGGCTGAGGAGAGCGAGGACTCAGATGAGGGGCCAGAACCATTAGCCGGACTGCTGTCTTCAGAAATTGTGGGGGCTGGCAGCAGCGATGAGGAGGTTCCCAAGGAGCCTGTGCCAAGTGCACGTGAGTGCAGGGCTACTCATAGGAAAGAGCAGTTGCAGCAGCATGGGCGACTCGGGAGTAAGGCTACAAGGTAATGGCCCCTCCTTCAAGAAGATAAAAGCCAGCTGTGAATTGGATGTTCTTTGCAGGAAGCAAAGATGTTTTGAAGCTCAAGCCTCATGGACATTGCAGTATCTTAGTTGGTATTTGAAGACTCTTGTGTTGTAAAATATTTCTACGTAAACTTATCTGTTATTTTTGGCTGCCTCGCACAGTTCTGGTGAGCTCATGCTTATCAAAGTTAGTTTGCAGCAGCCTTTTAACTGGGGATTCATAAGAATCATTAAAAGGTTTCTGTTTCCTTTGGTTTGTGTTTGTTTTATTGGACAAGGGTTTGGGTCAGAACAGCCTTCCCTGCACAGGATTACAAGGCTAGAGCCCTCCGCAGCTTCTGCTGACCAAATTTTGTCCCAGCTGGTCTGGCTTGGTGGACAAGGAAGATAGAATTTTGGGATACAAAGGAGAAAGGAGCAACCTTCCCATTCCTCCTACTGCAGGGCTGCCATGGAGCTTGTGCAGGGCAGGGAAGGGGGTGCAGCCTGAATGCAACAGCAGCAAGGTGCTCTGGAGGTTGTGGATCTGGCCAAGTTGCTCCATGCCAGGCAGGAGCAATCCAGCAGGATGGCTGAGAGCAGCACAGCCAGGAGGGCAAAGAGCCCCCATGAGGCCAGCAGCAACAGATGCAACAAGCCCAGCAGTCAGGAAGAGCTATGGGAGAGGGAGCTGATCCCAACACACAACATATCTTGAGCTCCAGGCCTGGTGGAGCACAAACTGTGGTCACCACTTGCTCCAGACCCACAAGGCAAACTGCAAAAGAGAGGGGCCCTTGGCTGCAAGGTTTCCTGGCACCACAGGCAGGGACAGGGCTGGTGAGAGTATGCCGAAAAAACCTCAAGGTGCTCAGAGAGACAGAAAGAGATGCAGCTCCTGGCCCTTGCTGGCTCAGCCAATCCACAGGGCCATGATTAAGGGGTCAAGCCTCCACGAGGTGACCAGGGAAGGGAAGGAGCCACCATGTCTTAGGGATTACTGCCCATATTTGTGAGGGGATATGTGGTTGGGCTACCTCCTGTGCTGGCCACCCTCACCCATTTCACTAGGGCTTATTTTTAAAGTAGGGTTTTTAATTAGGTGCACAATAAAAAAAACCAGGCTAGGGCTTATTTTTGGGGTAGGTTTGTTTTCAGGGAAACATGGTGTGTGTTTTGGTATATATATGTATGAATAAATTATTTATGTATGTATGG